GCAGAGCCCTCACTGACGGGCCAAACCCTTCATCGTTAGTAGGTAGTGGGAGGAGAGGCACCATCAAGAAAGCTCTGTCTAGCATCCCGGCTCTGTGCTGCTGTGCAATGCTGCTGCCATGTTCTGGTGCAGCACAAGGACCTCACCAGACGCTGAGGTGAACCAAATAGACCTTTCCTGTATGAGCTGCCCTGTCTTTGGCATGTTAAGGGCAGTCTAGTGACAGTGCTGGCGTCTCACAGCAACTTCTTAATGAGTATTGCAGAATGGGGTGAAAAGTAAACATTAGAAGCTCTCTGACTAGACCATTCCCATATAATTTGTTTTGTTTGTGTCTGGCACAGTATTAGGAAAGATGGGCAATGGAGGTGACAGCTGGGCCCATCTAGAAGCAGAGCATGAGGAAAAGCAGACGCCAATATGGGCTTCCCAAAATGCTCCTGGGTTGGGGGTAGAGCTCAGCGATAGGGCTATAGCTTGCCTAACGCTGGATTCTACTGCCAGAATTACTACTACACAAAATATCTTCCATCTTTGTTTTATTTACTTTATTACAGTTGAGACAGAGCGCGTGAGAGTGAGAGAGAGAGAGAGAGAGAGAGAGAGAGAGCGCACATATGCCATGGTGCATATGTGCAGGTGAGAACTCGCAGGAGTCATTCCCTCCCACTGTGCAGGTCCTGGGATCTAACACAGGTCGAGGCTAAAGCGGCAGATGTTTTTACGTGCCCAGCTGTCTCACCAGCCACGTCCTGGGTTTAGATGACCTTATAGTCACTAGCCCAATGTGCTTAGCCGTGGATTGGTTGAGGGATAGAGCACATAAAACAATGACATTTATTAATGTTGACTCTTCTTATCAAGAAGCAGGTGAATATCCTGTGATATGGATGACCGTGTGCCTCTCTTGTTACTAACACATCCTCAACAAGGACTTACCACATGGCAGACAGTGCTCAGCAGGTTAATGAGATCTTCCTTTGGGAAATATATTCTTATACATTGTCTAATAGCATTCAGCAACCCATTTTACAGATAAACAGAATGAGGTTCAGAGGAATCTACACACTGTGGTCTCTTTTTTTTTTTTTTTTTTTTTTTTTTGGTTTTTTCGAGACAGGGTTTCTCTGTGTAGCTTTGCGCCTTTCCTGGGACTCACTTGGTAGCCCAGGCTGGCCTCCAACTCACAGAGATCCGCCTGGCTCTGCCTCCCGAGTGCTGGGATTAAAGGCGTGCGCCACCAACGCCCGGCCACACTGTGGTCTCTTAAAGTAGCAAGGGCAAGGCCAGGGTTTGGCCTGAGCAGTCTCACTTCAAAGGCTCAGTTTTGGCATGGAATGGAGGAATATAGATATGATTAAGAATTCATTTTAGAGCTGTGCGGTGGGGTGCACACCTTCAATCCCAGCACTCGGGAGGTAGAGGCAGGCAGATCTCTGTGAGTTCGAGAGACAGCAGACAGCCAGGGCTGTTACACAGAGAAACCCTGTCTTTAAAAAACAAACAAACAAAAATTCATTTTAGCCTTCCCTCAGTTGCCGCCAAGGTGCTTGGTTCTTCCAAGGAAGCTAAGGCCACGTTGTAGTGAGACCCTCACTTCTTCCTGTAACTAGCACTGAGCCAGCAGTCTGAAACATAGCCTCCACGTCTGAGCTCGCCTGCATCTATTCCACCCTCATCCTGCATGACTATGAGGTGAAGGTCATGGAGGATAAGATCAGTGACCTCCTTGAAGCAGCTGGTGTCAGTGTTGAACCTGGCCTGGCTTGTTTGCAAAGCCCCTGGCCAATGTCAACATTGGGAGCCTCATCTGCAATGTAGGGGCTGAGCCTTCTCCAGCAGCTGGAGCCGCGCCAGCAGGCGGTCCTGCCCCTCCACGGCTGCTGCCCCAGCTGAGGAGAAGAAAGTGGAAGCAAAGAAGGAAGAATCTGAGGAGTTTGATGATGACATGGCCTGACACAGACTTTGGTCTTTTTGACTAAACCTTTTTTGTTAACTTGTCCAATAAAAAGCTGAACCTGTTGATATTTTATCTGTGTACCCCATTTAAGCTTATCTGAGAATCAGAGGAAAAAGCCAGCCACTACAATAAACATAGAAGTCAGGCAATGGTAGCACACACCTTTAATCCTACCATTCAGGAGGTAGAGATCCATCCAGATCTCTGTGAGTTCAAGGCCACACTGGGAACAGAGCCAGGCATGGTGGCACACACTTTTAATCCCAGCACTAGTTAACCATAGAGGTCTGGAGATCTTTACAGACAGACAGGAAGTGATGTAGCTGTGTGGAGAGAGAAAGTGAGATGGCAGAACAGACCGAGCAGTGGTGGCGCACACCTTTAATTCCAGCACTTGGGAGGCAGAGACAGGAGGATCTTTGTGAGTTTGAGGCTAGCTTGGTTTACAGAGTGAGTTCCAAGACAGGCCCAAAGCTATAGAGAAACTCTGTCTGGAAAAAACCAAAAAGAAAAAAAAAAAGGCATATAGACATAGACATGAGTATACAGGAAGTAGGTCTCTCTGGAAGCTGAGGAGTTGGTGAGGTGAGGTTGGCTGTGGTTTGTCCTATTCTTCTGATCTCTCGGCTTTCACCCCAATATCTGGCTTCGGGTTTTTTTTATTTTTATTAATAAGGTTGTTTAGCAATTCGTCTTACAACCTTTTTTTTTAAAAAAAAAAAAAAGAATTTATTTTACTTCTGTGGAGTCTGAGCCCAGTGCAGAAAAAGGGACTATGCTTGGTCATTCATTCAGTCATAAAATGCTAACTGTGTGCCACTGGGGATATATATGAAGACATTTGGGGATATATTATGGCTTAAAGTTAAAAGTCTTTTCAGCTGGATCTACAATTCCTGGTTGTCCCTCCCTCTCCCACTTCTACTGAGGTCTCTATGTTGACCAGGCTGGTCTGGAACTTCCAGAATCTAGTGATCTTCTGCCTCAGGGTGCAGCTGTATGCCACCAAACCCTTTCCTTTGGCTGGCTTTTAAGTTTCACACAGATTTGTAGGGAAAGGCAAAAATCCAACTCTACCGTCAACTCCTGGTTGGCTTTCAGACTTAAACGGACATGACATAGATGAATAGAGAAAAAGCATACAGGTTTCTCTGACTCAAGTTTTGTGTATCACAGGGGTTTGCATGGAGAAATGAAGACTTATGGACTCGTGACCCAACTGCAATTGCTAGTGTCCATAAGACCCAAGTGCCACTCCCAGGATCAGAAAGAAATAGGGAGTGTGAAGAAGAGGAGGAGACAAGGACCCCGGGAAGCAGTTCGGGAAGAGTCAGTTACTCTATACTGTGGACAAAGGATAGCTAAGGTCTGCGGAAGTACTTAAGTGGGAAGACTGAAACAGCGAGTTATTATTATCTTCTTGGGGCGGTGCTGGGAATGGAATCCAGGGCCTCTGGATGATGGTTTCTTTCTGATATAGTGAGGGAAGCTGTCATACGGGAATTTCATTTCCTGCTTTATTATTGTTTTATTTTGTTTATGAGACAGGATCTCACTACGTAACCCTAACTGGCCTTGAACTCACTGAGATCTTCTTGCTTCTCCCTCCTGAGAGCTGGGTTTGAAGCCGTGTGCCACCACCACCCAGGCCTCATCTCCTGCTTTTAGGAAACAGAAGAGAGCATTGTACAGAAGTTAACGGCCATATTGGCCCAAAATGTTTATTTTGCTTTTTTCATTTGTGGTAGGGTTTTAAACACTTAAGGTTGTATTCACATAGGTTTGGCTACAGAAACTAATAAAATGTTCTCTGAATACTGAAAAGGAAACCAAAAGAGGTTACACATTCAAGTTCCTCTATCAAAATGTCAGGGGTGTATTTTTTAACTCCAATTAAAAAATGTTTTGAAATTTGTTTTATGAGTATAACAGGGTCTCAGACTTAGAAGCCCCTGAGACCTTAGAACAGCTGACTCCATGATGGAAATACTATTCAGGTTGTGAAACTCAGCACACAGCACCACCTGCTAAAACTAAAACAAAGTCCTCCAAGTCCGCATAGTTCTGGGAAAGTCTCTAAATGTACTAACCTTGCTGTTTGGCTTCTGTAGTTCCGCTTCTGGCTAGGTTTTCTTGTTAACAGAAGTGTGTCAACCCAGAACATGGTTTCGTATTTGAAAGCTCCATGAGAAAGGCTCCGGGCTACACTGAGAGCCTGAACACCCAACGTAATTGCTGTCCAGCTAATAAAGACATTCTATTGTTAAACCCATGTCCAATCAGCTGTCTCTGGTGAGTACCCACAACAACGAGTATGTGTGTTTTGTCAGCATGTCTACATCTGTGTCAGGTGTGTGCCTGGTACTCAGTGATGTCAGAAGAGGGCATCAGATCCCCTGGAAGTGGAGTTACCCATGGTTGTCAGCCATCATGTGTGTGCTGGGAACCAAACCTAGGCCTTCTGCAAGGGCATCAAGTGCTCTTAACCCCTGAGCCATCTCTTCAGCCCCATATTACTGATGTTGTTGTTTTTATCTTTATTATTGTTTTTAATTTTTGAGGCAAGGTCTCTGTGTAGCCCTGGCTCCCTTGGAACTCACTATGTAGAGCAGGCTAGCCTCCAACTCACCAAGACAGGTCTGCCTCTGCCTCCTGAGTGCAAAAACCAAAGGCATGAACCACTAGGCCCAGCTATTATTATTATTATTATTTATTTTGGAGACAAGGTCTCAAACTGTAGCCCGGGCTAACTTTGAACTCATGGCAATTCTCCTGCCTTAGCTTCCCAAGTACTAGGATTACATGCATGTGCCTCTCTTGAGTGGAAAGATAAATAACCCTCTGGTATGATTCGTGTACAAAGATTAAAAGTAATGCAATGTGTTTTTACACATTAGGCACTGGCAGAGGGGTGTGGTGAAGGCTGTCAGGGGCAGGGAAATCTGGGGCAGAGGAGCCCAGTGGCCAGGCACGAAGCAGGAGGGAGGCATCTAAGTGACCCCAGAGGACACAGCAGGCCTTGGCGATGCGCTCATTAGCCAGTCACAGGAGGAGGGCGGGGTGACCTGGCGCGGCCCGGACTTTGCAGCCATTAAACCAGTCCTGACTGCGCTGGCCTCGCTTCACACTCCTGGCCGAGGAGGGTGAAGGCTTCTTTCTGGGACCTAAACTAAGGTGAGAATGCCCCGGTGCCTCTGCGGGTCCCCGCGGGCTGTCTGGGAACTGGAGAGCCGCTGGGCGGGCGTAAACAAGTCAGGCGAGTAGCTGCCACCTGCCTGGCAACCGCCGGGTGCAGAGAAAAGCAGAGAAAAGCAGCCGGGACGCGCGCGAGAATGCCTGGCTAGAAAGAGGGCGAGTGCCAGGATCCTGTGAGCCGCCCCTGGCTTCCAGCGAGGATTTGTCCTTCCAAGTGCAAGTGAAGAGCAGATCAGAGGCCGGCGGCGAGAAAGTTGGAGGAGTTTGGTAGCTGTTCCTAAAGGGCCTTGCTAGAAGCCACCTGCTCCTGGAGATTTGGGGACCCTGCTTCTTGTTAGAGACATAATAAGCTCTGCTCCCTCTGTGCCTTAGGCATCCACGCAGCTGCTAAGCTGAAGTTGAGCCCCACACATCGCCGAAGAAGATGCCAGCACCCATAGTAAGTACGGGACGGGGGCCGAGGGTGGGCCAGGGAGGGGGTAGTGTTTCAGTGATGACTCTTGTCTTCTCGGGGTCTGACTTGCTGTTTCGAAGAGGAGCTTTGTAGTGAAGGAACCACACTTTCTTCCACTGCTGGCATCGGGTATCAGCTGTGGGTCAGCTGCCACCTGTTGAGTGACGCCAGCACTTGTTGAAGTGGGCAGGTTGGAAGCCACCCTGCTTGAAACAGGCGCAATGGAAGGCAGAAGAGGCAGGCAAGTTGGAGGTTGGGTCTTCCTACCAAACCAGGAGGAGCACGGGACAGGTTCCTGGGGGGAATGTCTGAAGTTGAACCTTCTTGGCAGTGGGCTGTTCTGTCCTCCGCTGACTCATTTCACGACCATCCCTGCTGCCAGCAAATGCCCAGCTCTGGCTTCCCCTTCCTTCCATTCTTTCCTCCATCTCCACTTCTCTTTTCTTTCTGATTTTTTGTTTGTTTGTCTTTTTTGTTTTTGAGACAAGGCCTCAGGTAGCTCAGGCTGGCCTCAAACTTGTTATGTAGTGAGGGCAACCTTGTACTTCTAATTCTCCTGCCTCCACCTCTTGTGTGCTGGAATTATAGATGTGGGCCCCATACTCAGTTTTTTTTTTTTTTTAAACCCTCCTGCAGGCGAGGCAAGCACTCTACCAGCTGAGGCACACCCCAGCCCTGGCCTCTTGGTTAACTCATGATGTCTTGAGATCGTAACTGGGCAAATGTCTTCTTCGCTTTAACAGGGACTTTATTGATTTAGTTCAGATTGCAGGTTTTTGCAGACAACTCACTTGGGATTGTGTTCCAGCTGAGTACCTGTTGTGGATTTTAATTAAGTTCAACTTCGTTCTGTTCCCCTGAGTGAAACATCACTTAAAAGTTAGCAGCTCCCAGCCGGGCGGTGGTGGCGCACGCCTTTAATCCCAGCACTCGGGAGGCAGAGGCAGGCGGATCTCTGTGAGTTCGAGGCCAGCCTGGACTACCAAGTGAGTCCCAGGAAAGGCGCAAAGCTACACAGAGAAACCCTGTCTCGAAAAACCAAAAAAAAAAAAAAAAAAAAAAAAAAAAAGTTAGCAGCTCCCAGAATAGTCACACGAGTCTAGTTCCAGGCTGCTCTTTCAGTTTCTGGTACTGCCAGACCATGTTTTGTTTTCTGTTTAAACCCAGGAAGGCCTAAGACCACAGCAGTTAGAACCATAAACTGCGTATAAAGCTTGAACCCTGCTGAGACATTAGGAACTGACTGTTGAAAAATACATGTGTGCTTCTGTTGTGTGTTTTGACCGTGTAACTGTGTGTTCTTTGATTTAACTTTCCTGTGGTAGACGGCTTTAAAAACACATTTGTGTGTGTGTTTGTGCATATGCTCGGGGACATGCCTATGTCTTGGCAAACATGTGGAAGTCAGAGAACAGCTTGCAGGAGTTAGTTCTCCTCTTCACTATCTGGGTCCTGAGATTTGAACTCAGGTCGTCAGGCTTGGCAGCAATCTCCTTTACTTGATGAGCCATCTCACTGCCCTTGCATTTTTATTTAATTAAAGGAACAGGAAATAAATATGCCCCAACTGGAGGTTTGCAGAGAAGTTATTAAATCTTACTGATGATCCCTCTCCCCTCAGGCTGAGCAGGGAAACTCATTACCCTTTTCTCTGCACTCAGCTCAATCAATGCTGTAGTCATCCCCTCAGCAGGGCTGTGAAGCTGGGCATGCTGGCACACACCTGCAATCCCATCACTTGGGTGCTTTATACAAGAGGATGCAGAGTTGGGCTGTGTAGAGAGATCTTGTCTCAAACAGAATAAAACAGGGCTCAGTGGTTAAGACCACCTGATGCTTTTCCAGAGGAAAAGGATTCAGTTCCCAGCACACACATGGTAGCCAACAACCATCTGTAACTCCAATCCCAAGTGATCTGACACCCTTTTCTGGCATCCAAAGGCACTGTACACATGTGATGCACAGACATACGTGCAGTCAAAACACCTATACAAATAAAAATAAAGGAAGATAGTTTAAAAAAACAAAACCCACACCCAAACTAAAAATGCAGGGCTGTGGCTAGAGGCCTGAGTAGCTTCCTCTGCAGGGCATGGGGGAGGAGGCTGGCATGAAAGTTCAGCCCAGATTTCTCCCTGCCCTAAACTTTCTAACCGAGTAAGAAGTTTGGATGAAAGATGCTTTCATTTTCTACCCACTGTATTGCTGAACTTTGGATGTGTTTCCTGGAAGTGAGTATTCAAATTAAAACTGAAATTTAAGTCCTGTGATGTGGCTGTACCTTCCAGTCCTGAGGAGTCCAGAGTCCCTTAACGGACTACTTTCTTTTTTGTTTTGTTGTTTTGCTTTTTTGAGACAGAGTGTCTATGTGGTCCTGGCTGTTCCGGAATCCACTATGTAGACCAGGCTGGTCTCAAACTCAAAGAGATCCTCATGTCTCAGCCTCCCAGGTGCTGGGATTAAAGGCACGTACCACCAAGCCAGGCCTGATCTGAGGATGACATCTGGGGACTCTCGGTGGAGTTAGTGAGGGTGCAAAGAAAGGAGAGAGAGAAGAGGATGCGCCCCAAGTGTGGTGGGGGCTTCTGTTCCTGCAGGGTTGCAGCGTCATTCCCAAAACTGGGAGGAGCTGGAGGAGTAGATAGTGTCCCCTCCCCAGGCCATTAGTCTCTGATGAGACTCTGTAAGTGCCAGGCTGGATGCTGGTAGAGTGGATCCAGTCCTCAGCCCTCAGCATGCTGGACTAGTCTAGATGTTAGGATACACATGGAAACTGGTCACACATTCCCCTAGCTCAGCCCATTCATTACAGTCATCCTGTGTAAGAGAGCTATAGAGCTGGGCATGGTCACACACACTTGTAATCCTACCACTGGGGAGGTGGCATGCAGAGTTGGAGACGAGGCTAGTCAACACAGCAAGATGTCCATCTCAAAAATAAATAAGCCAGGCGGTGGTGGCGCACACCTTCAATCCCAGCACTCAGGAGGCAGAGCCAGGCCGATCTCTGTGAGTTCGAGGCCAGCCTGGTCTACAGAGTGAGATCCAGGACAGGCTCCAAAACTACACAGAGAAACCCTGTCTCGAAAAAACAAAAAACAAAAAACAAATAAATAAATAAACCCCACTACCACCAGCATTATCATCAACAAGGAAACAAAACAAACTACCACCTATAATGAGAAACCAAATCAAATCTAAAACCTGAACAGAAAAGACTGGGCTGGGATCACAGAGCCTGGAACAGCTCCCCCCTCTGCAGTGGGTGAGGGAGGCTTATCTGTCACTGGGCCTTGAAGCTGGTTTCATTTTCGAAGAGAGGGCCGATATGTGAGAGACTGACAGGCGTTCCCTGTGCACCCCACATACAGCTCTTTCTCGTTTTCATATCCTATTTTATCTCTGGATACTTGAATCCAGGCAGATCTGTGGTGGAATCTGGCTATGGCTTCTGGACAAACTCTGAAGCCCTGGGTAAGTTCATTGCCAGCTTGGAACTCCTTTTTCTCATCTATAAAATGAGGCCATTAGCAGGATTCCAGGTAATCTGTGAATGCCCCAGTAGTCTTGGGTGGTGGTGTGTGAATTGGGGGGTGGGGTGGTTCCCAATGCACAAATGGGCCAGGTTTACCCTGGAAGAGAATAGGCCTGGGGTTTGGTGCTGGTGAGTCTGGGCAGGCAGGATGCTTGGGCCATTTGGGCTTCTGATGCTGGGTGCCTGCTGGAGTTGCCACTGGCCCTCTCTGACTGACTAGGAGGCCTGGGCAGGGGTGCAGGGAAGGCTAATGTGTCAGGACAGGTCTGTCTTATCTATTCTTGTAGGCCAGAGGCTGGGAAGTCAGGGCTGTCAGGCCCTTCCAATTTCTACTACGCCTCTTCCCCTCCCCCCATCTATCCTGCAGCACAGGCCCTATCTAGCATTTTCCTTATAGGTTTAAGTGGTTTTTACAGCGTTCAGCCATTATCATGGTTATTTCTTACACAAACACTACTGGATAGGTATTAACAGTCCTGATTAACCAGAAAGTCCCCAGAGATGGATTCCAGAAGTTTGAATAGTTTCTAAGGGTGCCTGGTGTGTTTCTGGGGATACAGTCATCTCAGATCAGCCCTTAGTTCCTCACAGATTTTCTTTTCTCAAAACCTTGGCATAGAAACTCCCCCACTACTTATTGAAAAGTCCACTCTTGGCAAGACCCGGACTTCCCTTGTTTGTTTTCCTCAAGCTCCCAAACCTTTTTCTCAGCATCAAAAGTGAAAGAGATTTTTCATATTCGCTGGGGCATGTGGTTTCCGGGAACAGGGAGAGAATTCCCTCAGGCTGGGTTTCACAAGTGCCACAGTGTCCTCGATGTTTCTGGATAAAAATAGACTAACAGCATCCACCCACCATGGCAGCAGAAGCTGCTGATTCCTGAGCATTCCCTCTGCGCTGAGCACATGTTATAAAACAGCGTGCATATGCACATGTATGTAGTGTGCATGGGGAGGCAAGAGGACAGTCTTAGGTGCTGTCCCTCTTTCATTTTTATTCTGTTTCATGTGTGTGGGTGTTCTGACTACATATATGTCTGTGTGCTGTGTGCATGCAGTGCCCACAGAAGTCAGAAGAGAGCCTCAGATTCCCTGGGACTTGAGTCACAGAGGGTTGTGAGCTGCCATGTGGATGCTGGGAATCAAACCCGTGTCTTCTGGAAGAGCAACCAATGCTCTTAACACTGAGGCATATCTCCAACCCCTACCCTTTTTTGGGGTGGGGGTGGGGATCGCAGATTTCTTGCTTACCTGGAAATCCCCAGTTAGGCTTTACTGGCTAGTTATGTGCTGTAATGCTTGGGTGGAGATCAGAGAATTGCTTTTAGGAATTAGTTCTCACCTGCTACTTTGTTGAGGCGGGGCCTCTCTTGTTTCTGCCACTATGCAGTGTACTCCAGGGTAGCTGGCATGTTCTCCCTCTCTGCCTCCCTCTGGCTGCAGGAGTGCTG